GTGTAGTCTGGTCGATGTTAACCAACGTTTCAGAGGTCATATTGCCTCCGTCATCAGGGCGATGAATCACCCTGATGACGGAGGCAGTATGACCTCTGAAACCATCGCTCTGACGATGGAGGCAGTAAAGACCTCTGAAACGTTGGTTAACATCGACCAGACTACACACCGCAACAACCCAGAAGACAGAAATCTTCATCGTCCTGATGATGGAGGCAGTATGACCTCTGAAACGTTGGTTAACATCGACCAGACTACACAGCGCAACAACCCAGAAGACAGAAATCTTCATACTAAGAATCGACCTGATGACGGAGGCAGTATGACGTCCGAAACGTTTTTTAACATCGACCAGACTACACAGCGCAACAACCCAGAAGACAGAAATCTTCATACTAAGAATCGACCTGATGACGGAGGCAGTATGACGTCCGAAACGTTTTTTAACATCGACCAGACTACACAGCGCAACAACCCAGAAGACAGAAATCTTCATACTAAGAATCGACCTGATGACGGAGGCAGTATGACGTCCGAAACGTTTTTTAACATCGACCAGACTACACAGCGCAACAACTCAGAAGACGCAAATCCTCAGACTCACCGCTGTGAAAACCTCAAATCATACAACTTAAATCAACTTTGCTTTCGACAGACCATACAGATATCAACCAGATATTCTAATGTGGGCTCCATATTCAACGTTACACTATTTGGTGTTTTGTATTATGAAGATAATTGCTGAGTTATCTCCGAACCGTGTATTTCACATGGGACTTGGAAGGGTTCCGTAAATAAATTATCTAATATCAGTATGATGACGAGTCCACAAAGAAATTTTGTATTAAAATGACATATTCGTAAGCCCTGTCTCCAGACAACACTTTCCTCAAAAATATTTGTATCTACCTATAAGTCGATATTTTCATCGCCCTGATAATTGCCATAGTATAACAGCTCAATTCTTTTAAAATCTGGACTCATGTGGTTTATTTCGCAAATAACCTATTCAGTAGCAGTGCGTTCTATCTTAAATTTTTATCATACCTTATATCCGTTGAGTTGAAGCCCCTGCCTTAAATTCCACAGCTCTGGGTACGGTTCGATGCTGCGAAACGGGATCTGTGGTAGAAAGAACGGATACATCATAGAGATAAACAAATTAAAATTTAAAGAAATCGACGTGAAAAATCACAATATTTTAATTGTCATGATTTCCCACAAAGCCATAATTATTTATGAAACACAGTTCGATGTTGCAGTTTTTCCCCTTTGATGCATGTTTAGTTGTTTCAAGTTTAAAATTTTACAGGCAAACACAAGATGACAGGATATTGTATAAGTGCTGTTAGCAGTAGGAAACTTTTAGAAGTATGGTTTACGAAAAAGTTGAAATAATGTAAAATGGAAGACTGCTGGTGTTTTAAATAAATGTTTTAGATTGAAATGGGTAAGAAAGTAACGCAGAAGACAGGGATAAAGATAACGTAATCATAAATCGTCAAACATGATACATTCCTTATTTCATATATGTTACAGCAACTATCTAATTCAATGTTAGTCTTTTATTCATTAATAGATAATCAGACACGTTCACAAGATAAAAATCTTTTTACCACTCCCCTTAAATTCCCTTAGGTCTGCTGTGTATTCCGTTTTATAACAAATACCGACTTTAAACATTATAACTTCACACATTACGGGAGTGTGAAAACAAGTTAAATATAAGTATCATGCTGGTATTAACGTAACATGAAAAGTATAATTTGAGGTTCTCACGGCTACCTCCATCATCAGGGCGGTGAGTACTGAGCCCTTATGATGTAGGCAGCTAACATCTCTGAAACTTCATAACGCTACAACCCAGAAGACAGCCATCATATTACAATTAAAACATTAAAATATATTAAAAATTTTTGCCGTCAATCACAAATATAATAATGTTAAAAGATTAAAACATCATTTAACGTTCCCCATCGAGTACTCGATTATAATAGGAACTTACACGACTAGTTTCGGCTATAATTTAGCCATCAACGGGTGTTATGTAGTTTAAACTTATCACTGAATTATCAGTAACCAGCCACGCTCCAATACAGTCCAGTACATCTCCGTTCTCTTATATACGATTACGATATTACTTCTTGGTCCTACACAAAATATTGACGTCACTACAAAATACGAAATACAAACCTAATAGTGACCTGTGATAATACAACGAACGAAGAAACAA